CCATATTTTTGAATTGTTCTTGAATCTTCATGAAACCTCAATAACTCTCCATAAAAGTATTTCAATTTCTTGATAATCTTTTTATCCATGAGTTTTCTAAGATTTTCTAAATGAAATTACGAATGATTATTGAATGAAGAAATTCTTATTTTGAGAACTACTTCAATGATTTTCTTTATGACATGTTGACAACTCTTTGACTATATCTTGACGTTTTGCTTGAAAATTATTATTTTATACACTCTATAATTTGAACTATGATTTTCACCAAATATGAATTTTATGATGTTATCATATATTTTCTTGACTAAATATTATGATATGGTATGTCTCTCATGAATGTAAAGCTATAATACAAGAATTATAACCTCATGGTGTGATGATATCAATGAAGTTTATGAACTATGGTTCTTGAATGTTCTGAATATGATCCTTTGGTCTAATCCATGATCACATGAGCTTAAGGAGCTAAATAGTTAATCAAGAAGGCATAAGTATAATGGCATAACAACCTATTGGATAGCCGTCAAATAAAATTGTTTTTTCACTCAAAATTCAATGATTTATTTAATTTGTTCTTATATTTATCTAAGAGTCTATTTGGAAAGCCATCAGGTAATTGAAATTAGTGTAATTATTAAGGTAGTAATTACCAACCTAGTAATTATGCTGACCTATTTGTTATCCACAGTGTAATTACAAGTGTAATCATAAGGTTATATTAAATTTAAAAATTTAAAAATTATATTAGACAAATAAGGGCCTTTATAAATGATATTAAATTGAATATTTAAGATATATATTGTCTTTTGAAAATATATTAAATAATAAACATATGTTCTTAACTAATATTATAAAAAATAATTGATTTATATTTTTCAATTTAGTATATTTTAATCAAATTAACCATAAAAACTAAAAAGTACAGAATCTGTATGAACATCATGAAATGCATGGTTGACAAAAAGATTAATATTATAAATATAAAACATTTGACAAAAAGATAATCTATCAAGTCTAACTTAAAAAAAAGAAGCTTGTAATGAAAAATATCGAGTCAATACTCCTAAAACAAATGAAATTGAAAATGTAACATAAGTTCTAAATTCAAAACAAAAAATTTAGCATAGTACTCTTTTGTCAAATTTCAACATAACATACATAAATATGATTTAAAAGAAAAGGAAAACGTAAGTCCATAACTTTATTCAACAATGAATTCTGCTTTAATTTAAAAATTAGAATACTAACAAAATTATACTAATGATATTTTTAGATAATGCGAAAAATTGCATGGAATCACATGAAATAAAGGTTGAGAATAAAAAGGAAATGAAATACAAAAAATATAAAAAAATATTTAAAGAAAATATTAGAATAATAAAATAAAAAAGAATTTAAAATAATAAAAATAAAAAATAAATTAAAACAAAAAAAATATAAATAGAAATAAAATGAAGAAATTTAAAAGTAATCAACTTGTAACTATACCATGTAATTAACCATCAATTCACAATCCCCTGTGAATTGGAGAGTGTAATTAACCATGCCAATTACACTCACTTACCTGCTGACCAGGTAATTACATGGTCAACCAAATAGGACAAACAATGTAATTACATCTAATTACACCAAATCCAATTACTGGGTGACTTTCCAAACAGGCTCTAAAAAGATTGTCACTTTTTGCATGTTTGTTTTACAAAAAAATGATTATTTTGGGTCTGAACACTAAAACCATCACCTAAAAATTAATATGAGTCTCATATTTAGACATCAACAGTTGCATGTTATGTCAAGATAATTATCTACTAATCTTCAATATAATCAGTTCTAGCTCTAGCAAACTCATTTTGAAAGTCTAGTCTTGTTTTGTAGTATATGGCAACATTGCTTTCTATAGGCATCATCTTTAAATTTTATGCATAATTTAAACAAGATTCACCTTTAAAATGCAAAGAAAATATTGAAATATATCATTGGGCAACAAAGCATGAAATTTGAAATTCTTAAGTAACAAATTTTACATTTACTTATTTTACTGATAATGACTATGCATGTGGCAGAAAAACATAGTATATAATTTCTCGTTTGATTTTTGAAATTCAAAAAAGCCGGAAATGATAGCCTTATCAACTTCAGAGGTTGAATATAATGCAACAATTTTGTAGCTTAACAAGTAGTTTGATTAAGCAGACTTAATGCAGATTTTAAGTTTATTAAGCAGTTTGATTAATTAGGAAAACTTCTTGTAGATTTTAATCAGATATTAATTAGTGTAGTAGAGATTTTTTATGACAATACATTTGTTTTTATTGGAGAAATTACCATCACTGTATTCAAAGTCTTGTTTTTATTGGAGAAAGTACTTTGAAGTCTTGTGATACAAATGAGCAAGCAACAAATATTTTCACGAAATCACTTCCACAAACAAAGCACGAGTTCTTAAAATATTAACTTACATTTTGCTATTTCAAATTAAGGAGAATATAAAAATGTGATTCATCAAATGATACTTGTTTGTTTGTTAATTTCCCTTGTCATATAAGTAGGGATGGTAGTGAGGAGGTGCGAAGCTTAACCCACAAAATTTTTAATCCGCTTCACCCTGCTTTGCATAACAGTTTTTTTCATTTTCAACTCGCCTCATCCCCGCCCCACAATAGTATTTTTTATTGAACCATTTTTAATTAATATTTTAGTACCTTTAAAGAAATTATCATAATAAATAATGATTCATCACTCTTATAACATGTAAAAAGTTAAAATTAAGTTAGAACCCACATAAAATCACATGTATACCCGCAATCTGCCCTGCATTAGTTTTAAAAAAACCCACTTCAACCCGCCTCGCATCCCACCCGCTCCACACAATCTTAAACCCGCCTCCACTCCGCATAGCATTAAACCCACCCCTCCCCGCCCCATTGTCATCCTTACATATAAGCAGCCAATAAGTGATAAGTGGACCTAAATTTAGCATTTCTAATTCACATTAGTTTAAATGATCATCAAAACAAAGAGATTTGCAGTAGTTTTTTTTTTTTTTTATCTCTTTAATTTGCTCTGACAATGAGATGGTGCGGGGCGGGCTTAATCAAACCCACAAAATTTCCAATCCGTTCCATCTCATCCCGCGTCACTTTTTAATTCTGTCTCGCTCTGTCCCATCTCACTTAAGTTATTACTGCCACATACATAGAGTAAGTTATTGTAGTTAAATTCTTGACCAATGTTATAGATCAATGTGAAATATCGAATTTGAAGCCTAAACTAACTTGTTAGAATACCACAAAATTTGTCAAACTAAAGCCAGTTCGGTAAGTTAAGGTCCATGCTTGAAACGACCAAAAAAGGAAGAGGAGGGGGTCGCCCAAAGCTGTGAGAGATATTAATGATTTTACTTGAACAAATTAAAGGGAGTGAATTTTGCACGTTAATGTTGAAAGCAAAGTTGATTGTCTTTTTATGTGACGTCCGGTTTTCATACTACGACTCTAAAGACATGACTTTTTCCTCCTCAAATTATAAATCTACTAGTTAGGCCTTATCAAACACGTTTTTGCTCACTACTGGGTTTAAATTATTTTTTTAAAAAAAACTTTTTCTCCAGAAGTTTGAAACTTTTCACCACAACACCAATTTGTAAAAATTTCAATAGCTAGATGCATATAAATCTTTTCCTAATTTTTTGGCAAGTAAAATATAAAATGATATAGGAAAATATTTGAGATTTTTATCAAACAAGAAGCAGTAGAAAACATGAAGGAGGAAATCCGCACCTGCCCCCGCAACCGCATAATTTTTAAAAGGAAAAATTACTTAAATACACAACACTTTTTTACTTATTCTCAATATTTCCCTACTCTTTTACTAAAATACAAAAATCCCTTATTTTTCCCCAATTCAACTTAACCGGATACTTTATTAGTTTAAGTATCCGCCCGTTATTAATTAAAGTATCCGTGCTGTTATATTATGCATCCGCCCGTTAATTAAGTATCTGTGCGGCTAACAACTTAATAATTTAAGTATCCGCCTGTTATTAATTAAAGTATTTGCGCTGCTATATTATGCATCCGCCCGTTAATTAAGTATCCGTGTTGCTAACAACTTAATAATTTAAGTATCCGCCCGTTATTAATTAAAGTATCCGCGCTGCTATATTAAGTATCCACACTGCTATATTATGTATTCGAAAAACACTAAAAAAAGGGATTTTTGGTAATTAATGAAAGAGTAGGGAAATGAAGTAATTTCTTTCTTATACTATGTCATCTGCCTAATTTTTACTTTTTAAAAACTAGAAACTAAAGCTTTCCATCCCATCCCACCCTACTCCGCACCTATTTAGAGACTGTCTCACTATAAAAGTGTAAATTACATGAGGATTTTCCTAGAGATTAGTATGAAAATTCATAGGAAACTTATTTTCCTGCAAAATTTCATACTAATCCCCAGAAAAATCTCCATGTAATTCACACTTTTCTTGTAGAGTCTTTTTGTGACGATTATAGTGGAGCAGATGGAGATTCTTTCAATCGAAATTCTCCCAAAAAAAGTACAAATAGCAGTCCTCGACCCCCCTAGGGTATGGCCTACCGATCCATAGATGTAGGAAGACGGCATGTCTACTGACCAAACTGCGTAACCAAAACGACTCCTTGTTGGTGGTTGATATACAAAATGAATGAGCTATTCGAAGTAGTGACAAGTTTACAAGAAACTTTGAACAGGAGACAAGGGGCGAACCCGCAGGTTCCCGATGCCTACCTAAAGCCCTATCGCAGGGTCTCAATTTTCCTCTACCTGAAATAGTTGGACGGGGGAGTGGGGGGAACCTTGAACCTTTTTGCATAAGAAGAAATAAAAGTATGAAGGCCTCTATACTCAATTAGCTCTATTGCCATCCCTACTATTCTATTTCTCATATTTTTATTTAAAAAAAATTCAAAAGCAAAATTGGTTAGGAAATAACTAAAAGTAAAAGACAAGAAATGTAACGTTTTTAATCTTTTAATTGATGCCAACGAAGAAGTACATTCAACCTTGAGCCCTTAGATCGTTTGGTTCACGGATAAAGTTATCCCGAAATTATAGGGTATCAAAAGGACGAAAAAGTACATTTGATCTTGAGCAATACCAAACTGCTCATATTTTCAGTCGTGAAGTTTTTTAGTTTTTTTCACTCAATGAAACCAGTAATAGTTTACTCAGAGTCAGATTCCATGTTTCCCATAGCTTTGAGTCCTCTTGGTCTCTGAAAAAACAACGTAAAATAAATTTCACAACTGAAAATTAGTATTAAAAAGTAATTTCGGTATCTATTTGTAAAGTATTATAAGTCACAATAATTGATAATTCAATTTTTTTGAAAGATCTATGAAAACTTATTTGGATCTCGAAATCGAAAAGTGTCGCATAAAATGAGACGGAGAGGAGAGAGTATTAAAAAGTAATTTCGAGAGAGAATTGTACCTTCTTGGATACTTTTTTCTCTCTAACTTCATATCGCTCCAACGATAAATCACATAGCCAATCTCCAGGACTTATCAGCTACACAAATTGCAAAATCAACAACCTTATTACAACAATAGTAATACTACAAATTTGGCTCAATTAGGTAATTATTACATATTTTAAGAAATAAAAATGAAACCATTATGTCTACGTCTCTATCTTAATTGCTTATTTCCCTTTTTATCTTCTAAAAAGTTTATGGGGCCTAACATAAATGACACATCTACCTAATCATTCCCCCACTAAATTTATATACACCCTCAAATCTGTCACATGACATAAAAAATCGAGAAAAGTGTTGAAGTGTAGAAATATATTTCACTCGTATTGTAAAATCAAAATACATTTAAATTCACTTAGTCTCAAGTTAGTAGTTATTTTTAAAGTTGACAATAATTCGATATATTAAATTTAATGGTATACTTCAAAAAAGCCAAGTGTCCACTCAAAACACCCACTTGACGTCCTTGTGGCCCTGACACATTTTTTTTCTCCTAGTCCTTTGTGCCCACCACAAAAAAGCCAAAGTTCCGCATCCATAAATATTGTAGTCCCACTAAATACTATTCTTTTAATATTTTTTAATAATTAAGGTAACACTATGTAATTAAAGGAGTACTACTTAATTCAAGTCTAATTTAGTAATAAATTTTACGAGAAAAATGATTAGAAAAATAATAAAATAATGGAAAAGAAAAGTAAAAGCTTACATTGAGGGTACGTTGAACAGTTTTGGCTCTTTTTTTGGGTCTTTGAGGCAACTTTGAGCCTTTGATAGCCATGAAATCCTCTTCTTTCTCCTTGTTTGTTAAGCCTATCACAAACTTAGATGGCCACACCATCGGAATCGCTTCATTTCCTTCTTCCTTGTTATCCTGCGCAGTTTCCGATGATCCAGAACCTCCAGCGCCACCGTGGTGGTGGTGGTGGTTGTTGTTAGCATAATCATTTTTGGTGGTTTTCTGGTGGTTGTGTTTATCGTGCGCACTGCCTCGCTTATCGTGCGCACCACCACCCACTTTCTCCGGGGAAGCCATTGATCTTAACCCGTTACTCTTTTCTCTCATCAGAATTGATTTTTGTGACCTGAAAATAACAAAATTCGTCGTATGTAAAATCACTCACATATAAAAACAAACAAATTTGTTTCTTCCTTTTTATCTAATTGCCAAAATAAATAAAGAAAAAACTATGGGTAAAGAGTTTTAATTACTAAAATAACCTTTGTGTTTGTACAGATCTGAGATTTGGGGAAGGGGCTTTTTGGAATAAAGTGAAACCAATGTGCAGAAAGAAGGAGAGAGAAACAATGGATTATTTGTCCTAGATTTGAGAAGGAAAAAAAAGTGAATAAAAAAGGAAAAAAGTAGGGTGCAAGTGGCAGAGTATGAGCCGTCTGATCGGAATTATAGAGAAGGTTACGTGTCCTGATTACAAGATTCGAATTTGTAATTGTTGTGGCAAGCTATCTATTGTGGACCCACCTACCTTATTGAGTATGACGATTTAATACCAGCGAAGATTGTGATGGAGTAATAAGTATTTTTTCATTTTTAATCAAAAGGTTTTGGGTTCAATTCTCTTGGGCATGGAATCAACTTTGTTAGAAAGTGTTTTACTCTCCAAGCCACTTCATTAGGAAGCGTTTTATTCTTTTATTCGACATTAAAATCTGACTAAATTTGAATTCGCAGTGAAATGACATTGGAGTATGGTACCCTTTAACAATTTTACACCACCTCATAACAAAGGCGACTTCGGACTCAAAGAAATTCAAACTCAAAACTTCTTGATTAAAAATATTTATCATTCCAGCACAACACTTCTTGTTGGTCAAATATATTCACTTGAATCTATAACTTTGTGTGTTTCCGATTTTTTCTATAGCAATTTCACAGCAGCTCATAATAAAGGCGACTTCGGACTCAAAGAAATTTAAACTCAAAAATTATTTATTAAGAATGAAAAAATATTTATCAATCCACCGCCATGGTCAAATATATTTGCCTGAATCTATAACTTTGTGCATTTCCTATTTTTTCTATAACAATGATGTAGAAAGTTGAATGAGTTGGTATGCACCTTAATTAATAATTATAAAAAGTACGCCACATCTCCTACTACCACAACAAGAAAGAGCTCTTTATATAATTAATTTTATTTTAAGTGTTTTTAAATTATAAATATTTAATTTTTAGCGTTTTTAGTATTTAAGTAAATTAAATAACATTTATAAATACGTAATTTAAAACTAAATAATAATTAAACCAAAATTTATAAAATAAAATTTCTTACTTGTGAAAGTTAGACGCCAAATCCAAACATGCTCAAAATACATCCACTAAAACTACAAAGAGGATAAAGAACAAATATTCCACCCCCCCCCCCCCCGCCGGGCGATATAGCTAATTCTAAGAGCTTGCAGACAAAGTAGTCAGAGGTGGTAGGATTTTAATATACGTTTTGGCTCTGGATAATTCTCACTTTTTTCTAAAAAGAAATATTTTATAAACATTTTGATATAAAGTTGTTATAATTTTTTAGATATTTTGAAATTTTTAGAAATTCGAAAAATATGTTTTGCACAATAATCATTATAAATCAACCACAAAAATTCAAAAAACAATTTAAATTTATATCCCAAAAAGCTTATTTTTCGAATACCATTTTAAACTAAAAATAAATACAATTCTCTTTTTAAATTTACAATTTTTATATCTAAACACACCAATAATATTTTAAGAATCGTGCCTTATATGCAATTCAAGACTTTGACTATTCAACCCAAACAAAATTATCATAGAATACCACATAATTGAGTGAGGGCAAAAAATTCCAAATGAAAAGGAGGAACATAGAAAGAACATAAATTCAAATCTCACGCTCCTTAATTACAATATCACACTCATCAAGGATCCTCAATTCAACGATGAATGCAACTTCAACACCCCACTCATTCAACACCAACCAGTCTAAAATCTCCTCATCTTTGCTACACAACCAGTCCATCAATGGAGTGGAAACCATGACAATACTTCAAAATTCGAACTTCCAAGTATATAACTAGTCACTAAAGGGATGAAGTTAGCTATATATGGAGAACTTTGTCAACCAAATGTGGATGACCAACGTGATGGACCCCCTCTCACCAGTCTTCTTCAGCACCATGCAAGCCCGATGGAACTTACCTCTACGTCTCAACCTCTTTCTAAACATGGACAACACTCATCTAGATATACTGAACCAAAGTCATCTCTTCTTTCTATAGCAGCCATTGTCAGTTCTGCAGGGGAAAACCATTTGGATCCCAAACCCAACACCTGTGGATGTTCCCCAACACTCAACTCAAAATCTAAATGAGGAAGGCGAGATCACACTCACAAGGGGCTCGCCTTCAAAAATCATCCCTTATATATGACATTTTCAGAATGGGAGGACAAGAAATACATCCTCAATTGTCCACTAGCACTAAAAAGTGTCCCTTTGATCTCAAACCTCCTCTGAACACATCTCTGGCAAATAGTGATGACTCCAACTATGAGTCCGAGTTAATTCCCAACCATGGAAAATTAGGAGTCTCTAACCCCACCAACAAACCTTTCTCTCATGAATAAACCAACTAGCTTTGTTGTTTGAAATACTAGGGGTACAAACAAGACTCAACTTAAGATTAGAAGTTCCACATCGACAATATACATAAGAGATGTTGGGTATATAAGTAAGTATGTCTTACCAACGAGTGACACATTTTAAAGTCGTGCAGGCCTAAGCATAGAGTGGACAATATCACTAGCATGCTGGACCATTACAAATGGTATCAAAGCCAGTACCGTGTCATCCTAGTCGATATGGACCAGAGTTCAACTGATTTTAGGCAAATCCCAGTAAAGTGGGGGAAAACCTTGGTGTTTAAGTATAGGGAAATCTCATACGGTAGGGTAAACCTCAACAAAAAACACTGAGTCCATGAAAGGGTGTATATGACACCCTAACTTAAGATTAGAAGTCCCACATCGGCAAAATACATGAGAGATGTTGGATATATAAGTAATCATACTTTATCAACTAGGGACACATTTTAAAGTTGTGCGAGCCTAGGCCTAAAGCATACAATATCACTAATGAACTGTGCCGCTACATATAATTTCAAGAGAAGCTTTAGGGAATTAATTAGGAATCAAAACCCTATCCTTGTTGGAAACTAAGGTAGAAAATCACTTGGATCTTAATAATAAATTTGGCTTTGATGACTACTAAGAGGTTCCAACCTAAGGTAGATCGGGGGTATCGTCTTGCTTTGGATTATTAGCATGGTGACTCTACATTTATTGCCTGCATTTATTGGTTTCTTCTCTTTTCATATATTTTTTTATGCCTCGTATATTGTGTTTCCTTTTATTCATGTATTTTCGTCTCTTTATTTACGCTTCTTTATGCTTCGTCTTCTCATTATAAACTGTCATTCTTCTAATTCTCTCTTTAGTCATGTCAAAGTCCTTTCATCTTTCTCAGTCCTCTCTCTATTTGCCTTTATATCTCCTTCTTGATTATTCTTCTTCTCTCAATTTCCATCATTATTTCTTTCTCTAAAATGGCGAAATCCTCTCTTCCCTCCTCCACCGTTACTCGTAAAAGCTCTCGCAACAAGAACAAAGGCAAGGCTTCGTCTGCCATCTTTATCGATTCTGAGTATTCTGATGATCTGATTCCTCCTGTCTCTGTTGCTTCATCTCTAGGTAAGCTTCATGATGACGCCGATGATTGTGGCTCTTCTAAAAAGAAATTCATGTTCGACTTTGACAGTTCCTTCGATAAAAAAGTGGATTTTTGGAATGCGTCTCATGAATCTCTTTTTCATTCTCTGAAAGACAAAACCTTAGTGCATATAGAGTTGTTGACCTTGATATTCTCTCATCTCTTGATTACCACATCAAAAATCTTTTTGAGTTTCAGGGTTGGGCTGATATCTTCTATGTGCCCATGGTTGTTTATGAACCCCTTATTCGCTTGTTTTATGCTAATCTTCGCTCTCCAAAAGCTGGAGAAATTGAATCATTAGTTCTAGGGAAGCGTATCGTTATTGACTGTAAAACAAATTGACTTTATGTTTGCTATATCTTGCTCTGGGATTATGGCTCATCCTAAGAAATGTTGGCCCTTTGATTATGATGTCTCTTTTGATCTAGCTAAGCGAGAACTTGTCATTGACCCATCCAAACCCATTCCTTCTCATCTAGTCCCCAAAGATCTCCCTTTTGAATCTCGTGTGATTGCATATATCATTGCTACCACTCTTCTCCCTAGGGCTGGATCTCACTCTATGCTCTCTCAGACACCCTGTTTGCTTACTACCTTGTCTCTGGCGTTAAAGTGCATCTTTCGTCCTTCATCATCTTTGCTATGACTGATGTCATATCTGACCCTACCAGTCTTCCTTTTGGCATGCTTTTTACACGTATCTTTGAATCCCACTTCATGTGCCTTGGAGATTTCTCTCTTGTGTTAATCAAACAAAGGTATAACTCTCGCGCTTTTCTGAGCATGGGTTTCACTCATTCTGTCTCTTCCTGGACTCACAAGAATGACTCCGAAGATTTGGGTGCTAAGAATGTGAAGTCTAAACCTTCTTCCTCAACCTTTGTTTCGTATGTTAAACTTAATGTTGCTCTGGAGAATCTTGCTGAGATGAATGCCAAGCTATACACTATGTCCATCTCTGTCACTCAGGTAAGCAATGTCATGACCAAGCTGACTGTCATGGACGAACATGTAGACTCTTTGAAGGACCTTCTGCTTGCTGCTCACTTCAAAATTGACAATGTGAAGGATGTCTCTAAAGAATCAGGCGTTGATGTGGCTCGAATTCGCTTAAGACTTGACCAAATAGTGAAGGAAGCCATCAAGATTGCTACCAAAGTTCAAGCCGGCTCAAAAGCTATCTCCACTTCTCTATCCTCCAGATTTGAGGAAATGTCCACTGCTAAAGTCAACACTCTAACCTATTTCTTGCGTCCTCGTTGATCCTCTGTCTCTCTTGTTTTTATTTTGCTACTGTGATATGTGTTGTGTTGCTCATCTTAATTATGTGTAGTTCTACTGTTGTTTTTGTTGTACTCTATGTTCTTTCATTTTTGCTGATGCCAAAGGGGGAGAACTATTATCTATTGATGCCTTCTTATTATCTATTGTTGTTGCTCTACTGTTGTTGTTGCTTATTATCTACTGTTGTTGCTTGCTTCTTATAGTTTTCTTCTGTTGTTTATGTTATTTCTTCACTTCTTAAGTAAT